CAAAATTCATGGAAAAGAATTTTGTGGAGTTTGTGTATATTCATAGGGTAATGCTGAAGTTGATAAATTTCAAGGGTGTATGCCATACAGTTATTAGAAAAAAATCTTTTTCTTCCTAGTTAATGACTACTTGTACAAAAATAATACAATATGGAAGAATTGAAGATAATTATACAGTAACTATTACAACAAATGCAGCAAGAGCAGATTTAATATTGAGAACAGCTGAAAGCAACCATGGAAAAGCAAGGAACAGGCAACGTGTCAATTTCATTTTTTCTGGACTCATTCGTTAACTCAATTAATGAATTTAATTATGTTCCAGAAGAAAACATTACATTCCTATCGTACTTCAGAATGTACAAGGCCATTTTCAGGGAAGAATACCAAAGATGGTCAGATAAAAAGAAAGTACATCATCTGTTATGAAAATTGAGTCCTGCTGAACCTGAAAAATATCTGAATTTCATTTTACCAAATACTCCAGGAAAAGTGTCATTTAATGAAACAGTGTTGATATTATCAAAAATTCTTGGTGAAAAGAATTCACTTTTTATACACATTAGCAATGCATGAACCTTACAAAGGATGAAAATGAAGATTTTTGTCACATATGCTAGTGAAGTCAACTGTGAGTGTGAGAAATTTAAACTGGATGAACTATCACCAGACAGAATTAAATGTCTAATCTTCGTTAAAGGTCTAACTTCAAGCAACAATTCAGAAATACACTCTTGAATCCTTACAAAACTTGAACAGGATTCAAAGTTAATTATACAGACTGTTGCAGAAGAGTGCAAAAAAATTGCCCATTTATGCCATGATATAGTGAAACTCAAACAAAATGGTATGTCAGAAGTACAAGTACTTTGAAAAAAGACAGTAGTACCAAAAGAACAAATCTAAAATAAAAATACTGCCAAACTCCACTCATGCTGTGGCTGTGGTATGCTTCAATGAAAAAAGGATTGACCATTTAAACTAAAAAAAAGTTTTAACTGTGGAAGTAGAACTAAAATTAAAACTGCTAACAATAATACAGCATTTTCTATTTGTGATGGAGTACTTTTATATGTGGAAAGAGTAGTAATTCCATTATCACTACAAAAAAGGATTTTGAAACAATTCCACATAGGACATCTGAGAATAGTAAGGATGAAGTCCCTGATGAGAAGCTACGTTTATTGGCCAAAGCTGGATAAAGATATTCAAAATACAGTTAGAAAATGTAATGGTTGTAATTCAGCAGCAAAATCACCACCTATAAATTATCAGGCATGGCAAAGCACTGATAAACCATGGGCAAGACTACATATGGATTTTGCTGGACCACTAAATGGTTCATACTATTTAATTGTGATTGACAGTTTCACAAAATTGCCCAAGATATTAAACTGTAAACAACCTACAATAATGATTAAATTCTTATGCAAACTTTTTGCAAGGTTTGGAGTACCTGACAGTGTGGTATTTAATAATGGAACTCAATTTACTTCTTGTGAGTTTTAAATTTTTGCAAAAACCATGTGGTAGAACATTTGGCAAAGCCATTTACCATCTGAGGTCAAATGGTCAATCTGAGCAGTTTGTTGAACAAACTGCTCAGATTGACCATTTGACCTTCCACCTTCAAAAGGGCATTAAGAAAAGCTAATAACTTGGAAGTTGAAGAAACAGAACTACAAGAATTTTTGAACATATATTGAATGATGTCAAATGCAAATGTCACTGTGAAAATGTCACCTGAAGAAGCTGATGTTTGCTAGGAAAGTTAGATCCATTTTTGACAAATTACTGTCAGGCAATAAAAAGAAAAGTCAACACTTTGAAACTACTAGATCATTTAAAATTGGCAATAAAATCTTCTTAGTAGTATGACGTACATTGTCAAAGGTGGACAATTTCAACATAAAAGATATATATATCAATTGAAGTTTAGATATGCACAGAATAAGCAACCAGTAAATTTACTTCATTGATGGACATAATTTACAATACCTTTGAAGTACCTATTCCTAAAGCTAATATTACAATACAATGCCAGGGTAAGCAAAAACATAATCTGACTGAAACGTTAGCAGTAGACTCATGTCAGAAAAAGTATTGACTAGAGAAAATGCATATCTAAAAAGGAGGATGGTGTGGAGATGAACACCTCTCCAGAATATGACTTGGACTCATCCATATAACATATATACTGATGCCGAGAATCATCGGGAGAGAGCTAGCTGGCAGTGAGCCTTATATCTTTACTATAGAATTCAGTATGACTATGTTGACTCCAAGCAGCATTATATTTCATAATTGTATTATCTTCATTCAATGGAATGAAGATATAACAGAATGAGAACACTCTACCCCTGTAGGTTAAATTTGGAATTCCCTGTAGAAAAACATTATACACCTGAGGAAGGAAGGAGGGCACAATATCTAAAATGTAATAAAAACAACAATGATGAGGACAATATTCTTAATATAAATAGTGTAAATATTTTGAATTGTAAGAAAATTTAATTTTTTTGCAAGTGAATATTGCATTTTTTTCTTTTAATCATTTCACCCCAAGCAAGCTAATAATGCCATTAAGATGAAAGGGTTACTTGAAAAGTAAGATTTTAGTGAGGAGAAAGAACAATAAAAGAACAGTGATCAGGAAGACAGATGGTGGTAACTGGCATTGCATTTAAATCTTCGAAGATTGTAGGTGACAGGGAAGGAAGAAACTAGAAGAGAGTTTCACAGGTGAGAAAAGAAACAGTTACATCAAACTAGTTCATCGTTAAAATGGCCAGAGCTCGTTGCCAATCTCATGGTATGCTTAAATTCATGAATTTCAGGTACCAAGGAGAAAAGCTCATTAGAAAAATTGTCATGAAAATATTTATAGAAAAGACATAGGGAAGCCATGTCACAGCAGTGGAAAAGTGACTAAAGTCAAGATGCCAGGTCAGGACTGATAACATTGCACACTCTTCTTTGAATATTGTTGAGTATCTTGAGATATATAGCAGAAGCACCAGACCAATGGTAGCAATATTCAAGGCACAGATAAATGATAGGTTTATAAATGTATAAGATAAATTTTGGCAATAAAAATTGTCTGACAAAACATGATAAAACAACTTTCTTAGCAATAGAAACAGCAGTTAATTCAATATAAACATTCAAGTGACTCCAAGAAGGTCCAAAAGTTTGCTCTTTTGGAGTTTAGCATCATCCATGCTGATGGACGGCAGAAATGGTTGTCTATGGTGATTAAATAATAGCAGTTCAATTTTGGAGATGTTCACATTTACAAGACATTTCCTGTCTCACTGATTGGAGGTAATTTTACTTTTCTGAACCTATCAGACTTGTTACTAAGCCAGAAGTAAATAGTTGTCATCAGCATTAACAAGTTTTTGGAGATAACAAGGATTTTCCAGATACAAGTCCTACTGTTTAACTCATAGCTGGGGGAAGAAAAATACATTCATACCTTACTCAGAGGTATTTGCACGTAAGTGAATGTAATGACCTTGACTGGAATTCAAAGTTGGCTCTCCAATTTCCCATTCCAAGTCACTATCTCTTACACCATATGCATATCCTTCTTAAACCTTTCTTCTGCATGCAAATGAAATGCAACAGAAAGTATTTCTTTACTGAATGCAGATTTGGTATTTGCTCTATAATTTTATGCTTCAAAGATATTCAGTATTACATGACACATATAGGTGTTTATGTTTAATGAATTCTATTAGAATAAAATTTATAGAAACAATAGGTTTTGTATTTCAATTAATCAAAATGGGAGAAATAAGTTTATTTTTCTCTCTTTCTCCTTGTAATTTATTTTCCTTCCTCGTAACAAAACAAAAACATTTCCATGAAAGGCAGTTGATTTTTGCCACCAAAAGTTAAATAAGTGTTATACCTGACATACCTATTCTATTATTAATAGACTCTCCCACAGATAATAAGTAGTAGTAGCAGTGGCCAGTTGGGCTCAGTGGTGTTGAGCGAGTCAGTCGATATCGGACATTGAAGTACCAACCATCACAACTAGATTGCTGTGTCATTAACTCTTATTTCAAGTTCCTAACATTTTGTACGTCGAACCTAATTTAGGACGACTTATTGAAATACAAGCCTCCACTGTGAAAACTACTCTACAACAATAAGCCTGCTGTATACAGAAAGAAATTGGACATCATATACAGTGTGTGGCAGAAATACCTCACAGAACTATCTCCCATATAATGGTAAGACATTAACTAGATGAAGAGACCATTGCCATTAAGGTCTTACCGTGATGTTGAGGTATTTCTATGAGGTATTTCTGCTGAAGCCAGTATTTTTTCATGTAGCATCAATAAGTTATTTTAGGAAATCATATCTGCCAATATATGTTAACTGCCTTTGAAGTTCTTACTTTAATCAAGAACAATTAGAAATGGTCTAATGTTAAAGAATGTAAAATAAAAAAAAAACAGAAATTATGGGTACACAGTTAAAATAAGTAAAGCCTTGTGTTTTTCATTTCTTTATTGAACTTTATAGACCAGTCCAGTGATTATTGAGTGTCCTCAGAGAACAGATACATCCTATAGACAATACCTCAGGGCACACGTGTTATCTGCACAATCATATGCCTGGGGAGAATACTGTCTGTTTCAAGATCTTTTGAACACTTCATATCAATAGAGGTTACTGTAAATATTTTATCTAAAGAATAACTTTGGACATCTATATGTCTTTATTATAAGATCAAAATAGTCTATGATTGTATATTTTTGTACTGTTTCAGGTATTTAATATAAACTCTATACTACTATTTAATAGCTTCATGTAAAAAAAAAAATCAAGCGGTTAAAAGTTATTGTAAATATTTTTAAAAACTTGTAAATTACCAGAGTTTGTTATATGAACATTCTGACAGGATTTTTATTTATTTGTCATTGATGCCTCTTTAAAAAGCATTTATGTCCCTTTAATTCTTCTTAATTTATAGTGTACATTTAAACACCAATTCTTGTATGATCAGCAAAGTTAAGCAACATTGAGCCTTGTCAGTACCTAGATGGGTGACCACTTGAGAATACCAGGTACTGTATACTTGGATGTGTGAGCAGTGTAATGGATAATGGCACAGAACTGGAAATTTGGGAGCCTAGTTACAATTCCAGTCAGGTCTGTTATATTCACTTATGTTCAAATACCTTTGGGAAAGGTAGGAATCCACAACTTCTTTCCCCCAGCTATAGGTTAATTAGTAGGATTTGTATCAGTAAAGCATTATTATCTCCAAAAATCCTTACAATCTAAAAGTATTTTCTGACATTAAATAACCTACAAAAGGTTGATAAGCCATAAAAGCAAATCAATTAATAAGTATGCTAATGTGACAAAAGTCTGAAAGATGAAAGAATCATACTTGTTTTCATAACATTATTTACTCAAATTGTTACTTTTTAAAAGTTTAGACATTTAACTGAAGTAACCAATAAGGGATGAAATCATTACCAATGGCTTTTAAGATTAGTATGCTAACCATCATTTTGAATATGTTCCTTTTTCTGTTTTTATTGAAAGCTTTTTCTACATTCAATATGAAAAAAACGATTTTTAGATGGAGATTTAATCTAAAATTATTTGTTTTTATGATAACTTAAAAACAATTTCTTTTTATGATATCTTAACTTTATGTTTTGTATACAAAAATAAAGCTACAGTGTAACCCGGATATAAGAGAAACCCGGATATAAGAGAGATTTTCTCTGGTTCCAAATTAGAGCCTGTGTTAATGTATATAAAATAGACCAAACCCGGATATAAGAGACTTCTTCTCCAGTCCCGACAACTCTCTTATATCCGGGTTGCACTGTATCAACAAGAGATTTGTATTCCTAAAGTAGGTAATTTTAGTCTTGCTTTATCATGATGGTTTCCCATGGCCTTATTGGTAGAGCATAGTTTTCCAGGGAATATATTGTCAGGAAGCACATATTTCTTTAGTGGGACTTTTTGATCTCTAGGTTGGATGACATTAATTTCAGTGTTTAAAATAACAAAATTTTCAACACATCTACCAATAAAAAATAATGTTTATTGTATAGATTGCTATATTTTTTGAGTGCTCTATGTATGATATTCAGTCAAATGATTAAAACTTTTTTCTTTTATATGTCATGTCCCTTCAGGACGTGGGAAATCATGGCTCTCCACAACTTCCTATACACAACTTCATTGAAATGGCAGACAAATAGTCAATGAAAAATATCTTTACACACAGAAAATGTACTGAACATAGAGAACTATGCTGAAGCAAATTTATATGAAAACTCATGAACATTTAGTAGTTCTATAGAAAATTAATGCAATACATTACCAAGCTGTCTAGAAAAGTCAGCTTACCTACAAATAAAAGGAAAAGAAATAAATTTATTAACAGTACAAGCAAATCTCTGGGGGTTTGTCATACATTGTGAAAGTAATAACTTCAATTCCAAAAATAAAAAAAACATTTTTGTCGAACATTAACATCATTATTATCAATATGGAAGAAAGTGAAAGCATAGTTTTATTAAAGTGAAATGATCAACATTTTTTGCTTGGACAATAATCACTTGATTGACGTCACAAGATACAGATATAAATGTTCAAAATATCCTATGCCTTACATGAGCAGTTATTATTAAACTGAGAAACATTCAAGCTCTTTTTGTATGTACCATTTTCGTTGAGGACATGGATGTCATGGCTCACTATAAATTTTTATCCTTTGAAGCAATGTTTGTCTTCTTACTAACCCTCTAACCTCAGGGGCTAGTTCTAACATCCCTTTACACCAGCTTGTTAGATACATTACACAATGCTCCCCTCTATCACTCTTGGCTCCAATATACACCAGGAGAATCAAATTTTCCAAACCCTCTTTCTACATTATGTCTCCTAGAAATTTCAAATTTCTATTTATGAATCTTGGTATGCATACTTTTTGATTTCCATTTACTTTAAAACTTCCTCATTGCTTAGATGTTCCACCCATGGTATTCTCAGCATCATTCAGTAGAACCATATCTCTGTTGTCGTGAATATCTGTGAGGAAATGGTTTAGCATTTACTGCAATATAGCAGGATTGTTATTATGTAATATCTGAGCACTACTTTTTGTATTTGTTTCTAATGAAATTTTCCTGTTTTTTTATACTTTCCTTACTTATGTCTCTTTTTGCTTCATGATTAACTTGACAGAAGAATTCTCACCGTAAACTGCTGTTATTTTTTGTGGTAGACTGGTTGCCAACCAAGGCTATAGGTTCTGGAGGAGGGAAGAGATGGATGAACATGACTTGAATTCAAACTCAGCTCTGTCTGATTTCCCATTCTGAGATCCTATCCATCATACCACCACCACCACCACCACCAACACCAACACCACCATCATCACTTAATACTTTAATAATCTTAAATTCACTAATAAGAATTACGAAAACTTATCAGTTAATTCTAAGGAAGAGCACTATTATATAAATTTCATTTTCATCTAATCTTTAATATTTAAATGGTTACTTTCAAATAATTTAATTAAAAGCTTTAGATTTATTTGAAGAATTCTGTTGGTGAATGACTGTTTTAAAAAATCAAAATCAAAACTGTGACACAGATCAAGATGAATATTATTGAAGAATATATTGGCAGTCATCACATCACATCATGGGACACTACATATATTGCAGCTATAGCAGTTGAAATCTGTTGAAGTCAAGATAACCTGACGGAGCCCATCCCTCTTTGGTTTGGTTTTGATTTCAGAACTTTTCATGCTTTACCAACTCAAAAAAAGAGATCCCAATCTGCCCTGACATTTATAGCAGTTAGCTATAATATAGTTTAGGATTGTAATGCAATGTAACAAACTTTGCCTTAAATTGTACTTCAACTTCTCTTTTTAATTTGCTAACACTACCAGCTTATTAGTATATTACTTATAGCATAAAGAATTGAAGAGATGTTTAATGCTTATAGCCATATCACGAAACATCAAGCCTGGTCAGTACCTAGATAAGTGGCCACTGGAAAAATACCAGGTTCTGTAAGCTTCAATGTGCAGTTTGTGCAATGGATAATGACTCAGAATTGGAAATCGGAAAGTCAAGTTTCAATTCCAGTCAGGTTCGTTATATTTACTTATGTGCAAATACACTTGGGAAAAGTATGAATCCACAAATTCTTCCCCCTAACTATGGATTAATTAATAGAAATTGTATCAGTAATTCATTATTATCTCCAAAAATCCTTACAATCTAAAAATATTTTCTGACTTTAAATAACTTGGGAATACCAGGGGTTCTAAACTTGGATGTGTAGGTGGTGTAATAGATAATGGCTTGGAACTGGAAATTCAGAGAGCCAAGTCCCAATTCCAGTTGGGTTCATTGTATTTACTTGCATGCTAATACCATAGGAAAGGTATGAATCCACCTCTTCTCTCCCTAGCTATGGTTTGGACTTGTAGCAGTAAATCATTATTATCTCAAAAATATTCTGGAAATATATTCTGGCTTTAGACAACCTGCAAAAGTTTGATAAGCCATAAAAAAAAACAAATCAGTCAATCAATGGAGCCATTTTGAAAATTTCTATCAGAAGAAAAATGTGGCAAAAGTTATCTTAAAGCAGCCAGCTTTTTGGAAAAATTTATAAAAAAGAAAATTGTTTTTTTTTCCACTGAGGAAAAAATTGGGCTGCCTAAATATTTGGTATATCTAAAAGTTCCTTGGTTGTGTAATGTCAGTCTTTGGTTTTCCCAACAAATTACTAAGTCTGTCAGTCATTGCTTTTCTACAGTGAATTTGTGCCTTGTGTTTAACACTTGGAAGGCTTTTTTTCCATTAGCAAGGATAGTGTTCCTTTCAACCAGAAATGTTCTGCAGTTTATTCTTTTATGTGCCAGCGTGAATCTGCTTACATTGGATGCATATTAAAGCAATTGAAGTAAAGGATTAAGCAGTGTGTTCCAGTTTGGACTAGGAATGGCCAATGACATCATGCTACAACATTGATACATACCAGAAGATTTCAAATTCAGTGAACAGCCAACAACTTATTGGTAATCCTATTTGTACTAACATTTTTTCAAATGGCCATTCCAAAATTGTAAACATTGCACATTTAGCATTTTATTTAAAGGGCCTTTAATCTCTTTGTTTCTAGACTTCCACTGTTTCTTTTGACGCAAAAAGATTTTCTCCATTTGCTAAAACTATTTGGTATTACTTAAATTGGCCTACTGCCTTTCGAGTTTTTACTTGTTTTTATTTTATAATGAGATGACAGATATGGATTAATTTTATAATGCTTTACCTTGTTTTTATTTGTTATTTTATTTCAGTGTTTAATTGTTTGTATATTTTTTTTTAATCATTTCACCCCAAGCAAAGCAATAATCCCATTAAGACACAGGAGGGTTACTGAATGTTAGAGAATATGAGAAGAAAATCACATAATCACAGAGAGAACATAATAAAAATAACAAGAATTAAGAAAACAGAAGATAACAATTGATATTGCATCTAAATTTTTACAAAGTTGGCCAGGAAGCAGGAAGAGAGTTCTACAAACGAGAAGTGTCAGAGAAGAAACTGTCAGCATAGAACTTACAGTTACATCTAGCAGCCATTTTAACTGTAAAATGATGTGACCATGCTGCCAATCTAGTACTGTGCTGAAATTTATAAAGTCTACGTACTATAGAGAAAAATATTTATAAAAAGGCACAAGAAAGCTACATATGTTGGTGGGAAAGTGACTGAAGCCAAGATACCATGTCATGACCCATGACATTGCAGATTCATTGAATCTTTAAATATACAGCATTTAATGCTGGAATTTAATGTTTTTTTTTAGATACAGTCTTGTATTTAAAGTCAAAAATGTTTATTTAGTAAAATGTAAAAGTAATTTTTTTATTATATTTTTAAATCAGTTTACTTCCTCTTAAGAACTGAAATGTAAAATGAATCAATATTTTGAAAAAGTTCTTTTAAGTTTCTTGTTTAGTCCCCCACTAAACTGCCCCACCAAATCAGATGTAAGAGCAATGTTCAAAGGA